CAGGTGAGAGCGAATGGCGCGGTTCTCGCCTCGCACAACAGAGAGAGAGATGCGCTCTGCATGGTGGGACATAAAAGAGAGCGAGTACTTAGGCGAGTTTGTTTGTCCCCTCGATCGACCTACGGAATACTTTTGTTGGATACGGGTGGGATTCTCCTTTGGGCTCGGACTGTGGTTTTAGGCGCCAAAAAAGGAACAAAGAAAATTCTTTCCCCCGGCGGCCTTTGCCTGACATCACCACACAAGGAACGCCATATCCCGCACAACTGTGAACGGTGGCTTGGATGTGTGCACGTCTACGGAGAGCAGTCGATCAGGTTTATCCGAGACACGGCATCTCCCGACCTCAGAAGGCAAGCCATGGCACTTTCCTCGTCCGCTCGCGCTTGCCGCGCCGCATTGCGCCCGACTATGCCGCCGCGAGCTGCACGCCTAGACCCCCGCGACGCCTATCGCTCACGGAACCCGCCGCCCCCTCACCACCCCTACCATGCGATGCGCCCTCGCTCGCCGCGCGAGCGGCTGCACCCCCCTCGGCCTCGCACCGCCTGCCTACTCCCGCTCGCAGGTACAGCCGCTGCCATCGAGGAGGCCGCGAGACGCGTCCGCTGCTGCCCATTCCACACCCTTGTCCCGCGCGAACCCGTCCAACCGCCCTCCCTCTCTTACGGCAAGAGAGCGATTCGCTCTCGCTGCTCGCCAATCGCCGCCCGGCTCCAGTCCGAGAAGACGCGAGAGAGCGTGCCGGCGGCCTCGTCTCGACGCTCACGCCGCGACGTGCGGTCCGTAGGCGCGTCGGCGTTCTCCTGCTCGACACTCTCGTCCAAACCCAGCACCCGTTGGTGCGCACCAGCCTGACGCCCCGCTCCCCGCTCGCAGGTGGATGGTGCGAGTCACCTCTGGCGCAGCGATGCTGTCGCGCTTTCTCGTCATGCTGCTGGCTTCGCTCGTCCACGGCAGGACCTGCGACCAATCGGAATGCGGTGGATGGTGGTGGTCCTCCTTCGACAGCGCAGGCTGGAGTACGTGCAAAGATGGGTGCGGCATGGCGGGCTTGTACCTCAACAGCGTCGGTGGCTGCAAGTCGCTCTACTGCCTTGAGGAGGCAAAATGCTGCCGCATCGCAGACGAGCACACCTGCAATAAGGTCGACATCCTGCTGTCGTTTGACACTCGAGGCTGGGCAAGCTGCCCGTCCAACCAGTACATGTGCCACATTCGTAGATGCATGATAAACAATCGCACGCTCGAGCCCCAAGCCATCCCACAGTGTGTGCCGCCCCAAGGGGTTTGGATGGAGTTCTCCATAACCTCGTTAGGTCCGGCCTCTGGCGGAATTCGCTACAAGTCGGTTCGGATCCCATCTGGAAGATTGAGACCGTCGATTGCTGCGGCGCAAAGGGCGGCTCCGGTTCGATGAGCAACTGCATCAACGTCGAGCTACCCCACTCGCGGGGTGCGCCGTATCGAAGCTGCCCGAGTGACTACCCGATTGCCTACTGGAATTACAACACAGCGTGCTGCAAGGAGTCCAGCTGGTCCGGTGGCAAGTGTGCCGGAAACCGCGGTACGGAGGGCAGAGATTACGTGTGGTGCGACAGTGCCTTGAAGTCAAGCGGCCCTGGATGCCGGAATCACGACGAGAATTGGGCAATCTGCCCAGGCGACAAGGTGCTGACTGGCATCTACCGTGGCGGCGGATCCGACGGGGGTCTCGACGACATCGAGATGCTACGGTGCTGCGATTACGACCCAGAGGCTCCGGCCAGTGTGGAAGTTGTCGACTGCTACGAGCCGAAGCAACAGTCGCTCGCTGGCGGCGGAACGAAGCTCACTTGGCTGACTGCGGCCGACGCTCCTCTCCCTCCCGACCGCCGTGGCTGCCTTGAGAAGAAGGCAGGAACATGCTCCAACTACGAAGACTACGGTTATGAATGCAATGCCGGTGCTTGTGCCAAGTCCCTCTGGCATGATCAGGGCAGAGGGGCGCCATTTCATTCCTACTTTTTTATCTACTGTGCCAACATTCATTTGGACAAGTGCCAAGATGGCGCATCGTGCAGTGCGTGCGATGAGTGGCGTGGAGATCGTGGTGTCCAGACTGGCTGTTTCTACGCCGATGGTGGCAGCTCTTGCTCCGGCTTCACTGACCCAAAGTACGAATGGACGTGCAAGTTGCCTGAGTGCGCGCTCGAGCTGGCGAGACTCAACGATGGCGTCCCAGGAGGCGGGGCTCCTTTCAAATGCACCTCTCCTAAAGTCGGAGTGCGAATGGACCTGTGCAAGGGCAAGAACTCGGAAGGCACGAACGCCGTCGATTCGATAGCAAGCTACAGGTGCGGCCAATGCGAGGCAGCGTCTCCGGAAACGGACATGGAGACGATGCAGGCAAAGCTGACTCACGAGAAGAGCCTCGAAGAGCACTGCTACGTGCCTCTCGAAAAGTGCCGCATCCGTTCGGTCACCGCCGACAGCGTCTTTGGACGGACGTGCCCCAGCGGCACTGAACGGGCCGGCGGCGCGCGCCCCGTCTGCCAAGAGTACGAAGGCACCGTCTGGGCCATGTGCCACGGCCAGCCGTACG